TTTTCATATGATTGGTTGTTTAAGTCAATTTAATTTTACATTATTTATACAGTTTAAAGTACTTTTCAAAAAAAAAAATAAAACTACAAAGAATAAATGAAAAAAAAGTACATAGGAGGTATTATTAGTGTTGTAGGATTTCACTATTGAAAATGATCGAAATCCCTTTTTGTTTTAGAGAAGTTAGCATGGTAATCATCTTGTTCGATCTATCCTGGGTAGTTGGAAATGAAATTTCCGCTTATACACATAGTACCTAGGGTATAACTGATTTATACCCTGGGGACCGTCTTGCAGGCTAATTTTCCTGGAAATTTCACGATTAATCTGTGATCAAGCTATCAAATGATATTGAAATGTAGTCTAAATTGTAGTAGATTCGTAGTTAAATTGACGGTTTAAGGGATAAGAATACTAATATCTTGGGTCACTGTGCATTAGTGTATTGATCCCAGACAGTGATAACAGAAATACATAATTGATACTGATCGGCTGCTTACGCGGCCGATCAGTATTTCTGTTATCACTGCCTGGGATCAATCACTAATACCCAACGATATTATTATTACTAACTTCGCTAAAACAAAAGGGGATTTTGATCATTTTCAATAGTGGAGTCCTACAACACTAATAATACTTCCTATGTACTTTTTTTTCATTATGAATGTAAAGAGATACAGTATATAGAGATATAAAAGCATGGATTTCATAATAATTACTAGTGATGTAATTCGCAATTTTACGGAAGGTTGCAAACTGGAAAGCCTGTGAAAATTACCAGTTAGCATAAGTAATCCATACAGGGATCGTCTAAAGCCAGGTAATAATTTATATTCCTCACATGACTTTTACTTTACAAATTTATTATTAATCAACTTAAAAATTACCTTGCTTTAGACGATTCCTAAATACAGTAATAACGATAACGATAAAAACTGACTACGTAGTACGCATGCATCACGGTATAAAAATAAAGATCATCCAAAATTTCATATTTAAACATTAAAATTTGAGGTAACTTTAACATTATTAATTTAAATAACAAAAAAATGAATTACCTATATACAGAGCTTGCGTTGTCATATCTTGGAGCGCTTCTTGCTTCCGCCGTTTGTGGAACGCCATATCTTTTTTCAGCGTATAGCACTGCATTGGCTAGTAAATTAAAATTTAGTTCTGTTCAAATTAATACCATTGGAAGCGCGGCTAATTACGGTTGTTATTTGAGCGGTCCAATTTGTGGTTATATAGTTGATCACCATGGTTCAAGAAGGTAAAAAATCATTGTTAAGATCATGAAATTTACATGATATTTAACTTTTATATCTTTGGTATGTTACATAAATAATATTTGTTGATTAATATTATTGGTATCTAGGGCTGCCATTATCTCTTCCTTCATAATGTTTACCGGATATTTTTGTTTAGCAATGACGTATGAAGGAATTTTTAGTTCAAAGTCCTTTCTTCTATGTGCTTTATATTTGCTTTTGGTTGGAATTGCTTCGTCTGGAGGTATACCTATGAACCACTTTATCATATTTTATCACAATATTTAACTCTTTTTCCTTAAAATTTGTTCATAGCATACAATGCGGTTCTTGGACTTGTTGTAGGTTTTTTTTTAAAAAAAAAATTCGTTTGTAATCAGAGTTAATAGTTCAAAATTAATGTTGTTAATTTTTAGGCTAGAAATTTTACAAAAAATCGCGGAATTGCATTTGGTTTTCCTGTGGCATTATATGGTCTTTCCGCTTTCATATTCGCTCAAACGAACAGCCTATATTTCAAGAATGATACGTACCATTTTCTACTGTTCCTTGCTATATCATGCGGTCTAGCTATGTTCATAGGCGGCTGGTTCTTGGTAATCATACCTCGTTCACGATATACCAAGCTTAATCCCGAAGAAGTTGATCAAATTTCTGATCTTCCTGAATCTTCATCCAGTGATCAAGACAATGAACAAACTTCTTTATTAGCTAACAAAGTTTCTTTTGATGAACCTGATATAGGAGGATGGGAATTATTTTACAATCATGATGCTTTACTTTTAGGTATCTTAATGTCCTTGCTTGGTGGGTGTGGATTGATGTATATTAATAATGTTGGAGCGATAATAAAATCACTATATTCCCTTCCATCATCGAATCCAAAGTCTCAAAGTCCCGGAAAAACCGCCATTGCGGACATTCAAGAATTACAGAATTTACACGTTTCAATTCTTTCTATTTTTTCGTGTGTTGGCCGTATTTTTGTGGGATTCTCTTCAGATATCACAAAGAGTATGTTTAATCTTCGAAGAATATCATAT